ATGAATGAATACCTGATCCTCTTAAGTGAGAGGGTATTTATATCCCTCAGCGCTGAGCCAAGCAGTGGCGGAACTGAGGGGGACAGGGGAATGCCACAACCACCCCCTTTATTTTTATTTTTTAAGTTTATATACTGGAAAATACAAAAGTATCCCTTATATAAAATTCTAATTTATTTTCTACCCTTATGTGAAATCAGGATTAGGTTAGAAAACAAACACAAAATCAGAAGCTAAAAAACTTTCACACTTCCACCTTTCTCATTCGCTGCCACCGTCGAAACCGAAACAATGCCACTGTCGAAATCGAAACTGCTAAAAGTGATTTCTTGTATCTTTGATTCATCTAACAAGTAACAAGTAAAAAGTTTTATTCATTAATCATGAGTTTTTCTTTTCTTCTTCTTAGATTGATTGTTTGCTGAATTTTTTGGGTGTTCTTCTTCCAAAAACTTATAATTCTTATCTTCTTCCAGAATGAGCATATATATGACTTTGTGGTTCTTCTTGTTGTAATTTTCAAGTTATTACTAAGTGAAGTCTTTTTTATACAGTATACTCTTCAGTTTGAAATGGATTATAATTTTTTGATATGATAATGGATTATAATTTTTTGATACATTATACTTCTTCTATTTGTATTAGTAAATGAAAATAGTTAAATAGTGTAAACAATTAGTTATAATTAATGATTGTAATGTGTATACAGTATACACTATGTTAGTATACTCTTAGAATTAGTTGTAATGGTTATAATTTGTCTCTTTTTGATTGAGAATTAGTTTATAATTTTTCTCAAGTAAACTACAAATGGACTCATTTGGTTTATAATTTTTTCTCTTTTAATTTCTATGTTTTCTAAATTGATTTTTAGATTGATATTATAGGAAAACTAAAGATGAATAATAGGAAAATTGATTCTTTTTTCAAGCGGAAAACATGTGAAATTGAAAGAGAGGAGATAGATGAAGAAATTATAATCCCTACAATTGAAGAGCATCGTGGTTTTGAGAATCCAACAATTGAAGAGCATCATGGTTTTGAAAATTCTTTTGAACACGATCCTGAAAAGCGTCCTCCGATTTGGAAATATCCATCAAATCAAGTGGATGCAATACACAGAGCTTATCTAAAATGGAGTCTATATCAAATTCATTTAGAAAGTTATTCTTTGTCCGATAGCGATGATCGTCCAAGAAGGTTTCAATAAACTTAGTTTAGCATATTTCCCTCATGGTAAGAATATTCACCGTCCGAAGATGCTGCATATTGCTTACCATGTTACCTATTTAGCAAAAAATCAAGTGGGCGTCCCAGATCACATGTCTTCATTTCTACGGGTTTTAGAACTTGGAAGAAAGTTAGAAATGAAAAACATTATTTCTTTCTTAAACACACAGGGAAGGATCCTTGCTCACCATACAACAATGTAATGAAAGCTTGTCAAGACTTGTTGAATCAAGATGGTCATATTCGAAATGTTATTCAAGTGCAAAGTTTGAGTCAAAGAATGAATAATCGACTACGTCTCAAGATTTCAATTGACATTATTCGTTGGTTGGTGCTTCAAGTTGTGCTTTTAGGGGTCACAATGAAACTAACAACTCAAAAAATCAAGGAAACTTTCTTGAGTTGTTAAAACTTTTAGCATCTTACAATGACGAAATTGCAAAATTTGTGTTGGAAAATGCTCCACAAAATTACAAGTATACTTCACATCAAATTCAAAAAGAGCTCTTGCAAATTCTTTCTAGTAGGGTAAAAAAGCACATTCATGAGGAAATTGGTGATTCCAAATTTTGTATCGTTGTCGATGAAGCTCGTGATGAGTCAAAAAATGATCAAATGGCTTTTGTATTAAGATTTGTTGATAAAGGTGGTTTAATACAAGAGAGATTTTTTGATGTGGCACATATTAAAGACACCACATCTTTAACTCTTAAAGAAGCAATATGTGATATACTTTCTCGATATAACCTTGATATTTCTAACATCCGTGGCCAAGTTTATGATGATGCTAGCAATATGAGAGGAGAATGGAATGGTTTACAAGCACTCTTTATGAAGGATTGTTCTTATGCATACTCTGTTCATTGTTTTGCTCATCGATTGCAACTTGCGTTGATTACATCATCAAGAGAGGTAAAAACAATTCATCAATTCTTTAATAAGTTTATTTTTGTTGTAAATGTTGTTTGCTCCTCTACAAAGCGCCATGATGAGTTACAAGCTGCCCAATTAGAAGAAATTTCATATTTGTTAGAAATTGATGAGATTGTAAGTGGTAAAGGTGCAAATCAAGTCGGTACTTTGAAACAAGCGGGAGATACTGTCGGGGATCACATTATAATTCTATTTGTAGCTTTATAAACATGTATGAAGCAACTTGTTCAGTTTTAAAAAAAATTGCAAATTTAAGAGGAGGTTATGCTACACGTGGGGATGCTGATAGTTATTATAATTACTTGAAGGCATTTGATTTTATATTTATTTTGCACTTGATGAAATAAATTATAGGGATAACAGATATGCTCTGTCAAGCCTTACAAAAACAAAATCAGGATGTAGTTAGTGTTATGCACTTGGTTTGTTCAACAAAGAGTTTTATTCAAGAATTTAGAGAAAATGGTTGGGATATATTGTTTACTAAAGTGATATCATTTTGTGAAAAATATGGTATTGAGATTCCTGATCTTAATGATGTTCATTCAACAACAAGATTTGGACACTCCCGTCTTGAAGAGAATCAAGTCACAATTCAACATTTCTTTAAATTTGAAATCTTTTTCACTGCCACTGACAAACAATTACAAGAGTTGAATAACAGATTTAGTGAGTAAACAATGGATTTGTTAACCCTTTCTTGTGCTTTGTCTCCTAAGGATGGATATAAAGATTTTAACATTAATACTATTTGTTCTTTAGTTGAAAAATATCATCCTATGGATTTTAGTGATCAAGAGAAGAATAATTTGCAATTTCAACTCCAATATTTTCTTTTCTTACTCGTCAAGCATCAAACTTGAATAATGTACCAACTATTCAAGAACTATGTTCATGTTTGGTTGCATCTGGACAAATTGAAACTTACTTCTTGATTGATAGACTACTTCGTCTTATCATGACTCTTCCCGTTTTACGGTAACAACTGTGAGGTCTTTTTCAGCAATGAAAATTATCAAGACTAAGTTGAGAAATAAGATGGGTGATGAATTTCTAAGAGATAGCATGACAGTATATATTGAATGAGAAATTAGTGCAAATATTAGTTCTGAGTCTATTATGGATGATTTCAAGTCACTCAGAACATGTAGAGCATTATTTTAAGGTACTTTTAAGTCATGTAATTTATTTTTTTGATAATTAACTTTAAATATATTTTAACTTTAATGTTTTATTTAAAATTCTATTTACATTTTATTTATAATATTTATTTTACGTTAGCGGTCATCCCAAAATTTTTTATCTGGCTTCGCCACTGGGGCCAAGGTTCCCATTATTGGGCTGAACAAGCATGTCCAAAATGGAGACTACCATGTCCTACGTGCGTAATGGGGGTCAGCACATGGTCCCCAACTTGAATGGACTCCTCCGATTTATCAAGAGAATGTGGATGCTGTCTTTTCGAAGTGAAGATGACTCCGTGATATTCAGAGGTGTTGAGTGTTAGCCCTACGAGGAGGATGCTCGCGAGGACCTTTTGACCGTCGTTGGTCCTCCTCGACAGTCGTGAGGTTGTCCACGAAGGACATATTCTGGTCGACGAGGGGAGTGGAAGATGCACGCGAGAAACTCCTAAGTGTCATTGTCCCTCCTCGTCAATTATAGGGTTATCCCCGTAGGACAAAGTCTAGTCGATCAGAAGAGTGAAATCACTGCCCGACATGATCAATGACAGACTCTCTCCTGTTGATCTCTCCTGCTGATCTTCTCATGTAACATAGTTGAATTGAATCTTATATGATATTTGGGTCAAGTGCAGACCCAATCCAAAATAATAATTATTTTTAATTAATAAGAAATATATAAATAATAATTAAGAGATCCTAAAGTCCCAAATCAAATATGAGTCATAAATTGGAACTTAAATAATAAATATTGTTCAATTTAATATTTACTAAATAAATTAGAATTTACATACTACTATCAATTTTTTTTTACAAATATTATCAATTTTTTTAATAGATGTAAATTGAATAATATATTTTATATATAAATAAATCTAGACGGAGTTAGAAGAAATTCAATATAAAAAATCAGGAGAATCCTATTAATATAGTACTTTTTTTTTATAAAAATCTATCCATTAAAAGTAGAATAGTATTAATATAGTAATATCTTTTTTAAAAACTACACAATCATTTTATTAATCAAAATATTATATTTCCAATTATAAAATTCTACTATAGTAAATTTCTATAAACCAAAGCAAAAAAAGAAAAGAAAAGAAAAGAAAAGAAAAAAAAAGAGTGTTAGACTAGTTTTCAAATTCAAAGTACAACCACAAAGATTATCTGAGAGAATAAAAAACCTAAATAAATTATTCACTCATTCAAATTCACCTATCACGTGCCAAACAAAACCTAAGATTCTCGAGTCCCCCAAATATCAAAATCTTAACTCAACCATAAAACTAAGTTTCACCGTTATGTGTTTTTTTCCTCTTCCATTCATATTCATCTCTATATAATAATTACCTTCATCATTCACAATTTTCACAATTTCCACAATTTCAAATCCATTGAATCATATCTTGATTGATGTATTAACATTATAGAGAAAAAAAAAAAACTTCCTTGTAATTCACCCTTTCTTGTTTCTTTATCTTTTCTCTTCTTGCTGTGCTGTCACCACAAAACAACAAAACCCTTTTTTCTCTCTCTTTTTTTTCATCTGGGTTTTTGTTAAATTGGATAAAGATCTGATTTTTAGGGTTGATTTGTGTGAAAGGGTTTGTTTTTCGATCTGGGTGTGAGGGAAATTGGTTGATTGTGTTGATAATGAGGAAAAGAGAGAGGGAAAACCCTTGTGGGGTATGTGGGCACTATCACAAATATGAAGAAGGTGAAGTGTGTTCGATTTGTGGGCATAGGGTTCCTGTTGGATCGGAGAAAAGTTCGATTCAAGTTAGTGCTTTTCCTTCTGTGATCTTGCCGGAGTTTCTTTACTTGGGGAGCTATGATAATGCTTCACGCTCCGAGCTTCTGAAAACTCAGGGGATTTCACGGATTCTCAATGTAAGAATCAGTTTTTTTTCAATGATTTAATTGATGATTCTGATTCTGTTTATTCAATGATTGGCTTTTTCTTGATGATGATACTTGTTTCTTTGGTTGTGTTTTTGTATTGAAATCAGGTGTGTGTTGATTGTTTTAATGTGGTGGTGGGATTGGGTTTGTGCATTTGGATTCTTGTGTATCGTTTTAGGTTTTGTGTTGTCGATCATCTGATCCCGGAAAATATTGTTTTGATTAAATTTTTATGCAATAGTGAGTCTATAGAAAGATATCTTTGATCGACATTATTGTGTAATTTGATCCAAATAGTCTATCCCACTTAGTGTAATAAGGCTTGGTTGTGGATGTTGTAGTGTGTCTATAGCACGGCTATAGCTTCTGTTTGACATTATTTTGTACCCAAGCAAAGCAATAGCAATTTGTTCAAATTTTGACGCGTTGTAGCATTGCAACATCACTAAAGCCACAATATTGTTTAGATTTGGGTGGTCTTCAAGTTTCACCGCGTTGCAGCATTGTAATGTCATGATAGCCACAATTTTTGTTTAGGTTTAGGTGGCTTTCAAATTTCGCCACGTTGCAGTTGCAATGCTGCAATGTCATGAAAGCCGCAATATTGTGTAGATTTGGGTGGTCTTCAAATTTTGCCACGTTGCAGCATTGTAACGTCGTGATAACTGCAACTTTTGTTTAGGTTTAGGTGGTTTCAAATTTTGCCACGTTGCAGCATTGTAACGTCACGATAGCCGCAACTTTTGTTTAAATGTAGGTGATTTTCAAATTTCGCCACGTTGCAGCATTGCAACCCCAATATTGTGTAGATTTGGGTGGTCTTTAAATTTCGTCACGGTACAGCATGTAACGTCACAACATTTGTTTAGAATTAGGTGGTATAGGTATTCAAAGTTCTCCACGTTGCCATGCACAATAGCCACAATATTGTTTAGATTTTGGTGGTATTCAAATTCTACCACGTTGCAGCAATGCTGTCAACAATAGCGGTTGTAACGGCTGCTAGTTGTGGCCCTGCCGCTATTGCATCCAGTATTTGAATTATGTGGATAACTTCTTCAACTTTTAGTTCAGTTCTGTTTTATTTTTCTTCTCTGCTCAAGCTTTAGTACTCTAACTTTAGCTTCTTCAACTATTAACTATGATAATCTCTTTAATTTTGTGTATTAGCCTAGTTTTGAGTCATTATGTTTATGTTGTACACCGGTTTTTAGTCTTTGCAATAGCGGCTACCCTTCTATCTGTTATACCACTATAGCATCTTAAGGGTCATTGCCTTCCTGTTTGTGCAGACAGTCCCTTCTTGCCAGAATCTCTACAAGAACTCATTTACATATCACTGCCTCCCAGATGATAAAAGTTTCCAATTTGATGAAGCAAACCAGTTTCTAGGTATGTTCCTTCCTGTTTACCGAAAATTTATACATCTTGATCATTATACTTGTTAGCGTTATGGCAGAGTAAAGTCTTTCATCATGAACCGTCATCCATAATTGATAAGAATGATCTGTATAATATATCATGTATCTTATGAATTAAGTGTGTCTTTTTCATGCTTGTTTTGCAGAGCAATGTGAGAAGGACAAGGAGCGTGTTCTGGTTCATTGCATGTCAGGAAAGAGTAGGTAAGACATTGCTGCAATTAGGATACAGTGGCAATATTATATAATATCACAGTTTTCTCCGTATACATATCTTGATGCAGGTCCGCAGCTGTTGTGATTGGCTACCTGATGAAGTCGAGAGGATGGAGACTTGCTCCGAGTTATCAGTGGGTAAAGGAACGCAGACCGGCCGTTGAATTAACTGAAGGTATTTTCTTTACCGTTTTCACTTTCGCTTCCGATCTCAACACAATCAACACAATCTTTCTGACAAGCATTCATATCTTCTTAATGTAGCCGCCTACCAGCATCTACAGGAATACGAGAAAACTCTTTTCGGATCAGTCGGAAACTCTTTTTTTCTGCCTTCTGCTTTCTCACCTACAGCAGGTCCATCTTTTGGCTTCCCGAAACCCAACGATCAACCTCCACTTCCCGCCTTTCCCGCCTTTCCCGCCTTCAGCTGCGCTGGTACTCCTTCAATTTTCACCCGACCACCCCTCGATATAGCTCCTACCGAGTTCACATTTGGAGCCGGTCAGAATGTTACTGGAAATCCTTTCAATACAAATCCACCTAATCCGAATATCACCGATATTCAAATGGATGGATCTTGATTCTGACCAACCAGCCGAGAAACATTTGGCTTTGTGGTAAGGTTTATTACAGGACCAAACAATTATAAGTGAACTTGTCAATTCTATAGTTTTTCCTTCATCATTTTAAATATTTTCATAGTTATCAATCATTATGATGGCTGTAATATTGAATTTTAGTACTTTATCAAGTTCTTTTCTTTTTCCTGTTACAATCAAAATTCTATCTATAGAAGTATATACAATTAGACAATGTTGCATTCTCGAGTTTCTTTATTCTCTTTTGAAAATTGGCTGAAGCCAACTTTATTCTCTTTCGAAATTTGGCCCCTGGTGGCCACGAGGCAGTGACTTTGAACTTGAACTTACACGTGATATCTAAACTAGGGTTGTTCATGGTACAACCATAAGACTTTGAACTTGAACTTACAAGCGATGCTTAAACTAGGGTTGTTTGTGGGTACGACCATAAGACTTTGAACTTGAACTTACAAGTAATATCTAAATTAGGGTTGTTTGAGGTACAAATTTAAGACTTTGAACTTGAACTTACGAGCGATGCTTAAACTAGGATTGTTTGTGGGTATGACCATAAGACTTTGAACTTGAACTTACGAGTAATATCAAATATAGGGTTGTTTGTGGTACAAATTTAAGACTTTGAACTTAAACTTACGAGCGATGCTTAAACTAGGGTTGTTTGTGGGTACGACCATAAGACTTTGAACTTGAACTTACGAGTAATATCTAAATTAGGGTTGTTTGTGGTACAAATGTAAGACTTTGAACTTGAACTTACGAGCGATGCTTAAACTAGGGTTGTTTGTGGGTGCGACCATAAGACTTTGAACTTGAACTTACGAGTAATATCTAAATTAGGGTTGTTTGTGGTACAAATTTAAGACTTTGAATTTGAACTTACGAGCGATGCTTAAACTAAGGCTGTTTGTGGGTACGAGCATAACAAAAGTTTGAGCGATATTTAAACTAGGGCCGGGTTCATGGTGCAACCATGATAAACAATTTTCCGAATTGAACCATTTAATTTTTCCAGGCCTAAATTAAACAAAACTGTAGTACAACGCATTTTACAAATAGTACACAAATTTAAATTGGATGTAAATTATTTCGGGATCGGATGATTTTTTTTTGAACTCACAAAGATTGTTTCAAATATCTATTGTTTTTTATATTTCACAATTTTAATATCTATAAGTTATTTGAGTATATAATGTTATAACTATAAACTTATCGATTGAAATTTTTAAAATAAAATATTTAACTTAACTTCTAAATTGTTTGTCATGTTTATAGATTAAATTGATACAATTTATTCTCAACAATAGTCTATATATTTTAGCTTGAAAGTTATATAATGAAGTGATAATTAAATATTATTAAAATAATATTTTATTTTTAAAATACAATTTAGCATTATACCATTGGTTCGATCGAGTAGGTTTTAATTCAATTCCGATAACTAAACTGTTTAATAAACTACTGTTTGCCAGCTATAGAAAATAGTTTGATTACTTAACAATAGTTTAATGGCAAAAAGCTAATATGTGTCCCCAAAGATTATTATTTGTAGGAATATTTTTTTTGAAATTCGTAAATTTAACTTATTGAAATTTTAAATATAATTTTATTGTATTTAAGTTTTTTTAATTATAATATTTTAACATATGTCTTTAGAGCAGATGTTAGTATGACTCTAGTTTAATTATATAATTTGATATGTTTTTTTTTTGAGAAGTCCTAACCTAAATCTAAACACATGTTTGTGCAAAAAAAATTATAAATGATTGTGTTTTTTGAAAGTTGTATAATTGATTTTTATCTCCCAACTTTTCAATTTGGTTAAAAATCATAACCATTGATTTTAAAATTAAAGTTTGACAATATTTCAAATTTTCACATTGGTCTCAATTTATCAAATTTCACCATTAATCACTAAATTTTAATGTTAATTAAAATAAAAAATTTACAATTTCTACCATTTTTATTCTTAAATAAAAATTTCCAATAACATTAAAATTTTAAAGAGTTCGAGATACAAATGGAGTTCATCTAAATAAAAATGAATTCATCACAACAATAAAGATAAGAAAACAAAATTGAAAAAAAACACAACAAAAAATAAAACTATAGTCTTAGAAACTTGAAAACAAATGCTATTGATTATTATTCTAACACCAAAACCAAACTTATAACATGAAGAAAAACCTCTCTTCAATCTTCAACTTGATGAAATCAATGTCCCAAAACATCAACATTATTGTGTGCAACATTAGGAGAATCATCATCAGCTGAAAAAGGAATTTCATGTTTCTCTCCTTTCCTACCAACTATTTTCTTAAAAGTATCATCTATATCAGCATACAATCCAAGATGATCATCTTCATCTGTGCATTGTTCACCTGCATCTGAATTTTTGCTGTTACATCCAACAGGTATATCTTGATGTCCATGTGACCCTTTTCCATGTGCATGTGCATGTCCATGTTCGTGACCATTCACTTTCATGCACCATAAACTTACAAGAAGCATTCCAATGCAAAAAACAAGCACATTCTTTGAATACTTAGCCATGTCTCTTAAGTTTTTTTTTGTTGTGTTTGATGAGAGAATGTTGTGAATTTCAAGAGAGTGTTGGTTGCTTATATAGTATAGGTGAGAAATTAAAGGTGTGATCAATACTGTTTCTATTTGCTTTACATACAGAACTGGTCTTAAGGCACTAAAAAAATATGTTAATGTCTTAATTTGCTATTTTTAGTTGACATGTGTAATAATAATAATGGATAAGCAATTTGAAAGTATAAAAATTACTTGAGTGATGAAGAATCGGATCCAACTAAAATTAATCCAACTCATAAATGATGTTGTTGTTACACTTGTGCCTATCATGTAGGAGGTATGAAGTCATAATTTTATTAATAAATTTTTTTGGTGACAAAATGAAATTTAATGATTTTTTTGTTATTTTATTAATTATTATTATTATTATTATTATTATTATTATTATTATTATTATTATTATTATTATTATTATTATTATTATTATTATTATTATTATTATTATTATTATTATTATTATTATTATTATTATTATTATTATTATTATTATTAATAATTGTGAATATCTATGTTTTTATGGTTTATGAGCGAAATTTAAAAAATCTCATGTAAAAAAAAGGTATAATTTCCTCAATCTATAAATATGATTCTCTTTTAGTCCCTTATCAAAGCTTTTATTTTCTATTTTAATGTCACGTATTTTCATTTTCATATACTTTTAAACTAATCAAAATTTAAACGTTAAAAAAAAAACCAAAATGACCACCATCAAAACTCAAACACAAGTTTAAAAAGTCAAAGGCAAAACAATCAACCAGTTGACTATTTAATTATATTGTTAATGTATTGCCATCTTAAATACATAAATTAATGGAGTTTTATCATCATCAACAACACAACTACACAAGAAGGCATAAACCTGAAGTTTCATCACCATCAACAACACAACAACACATAATCATGGAGTTTTATCATAGTTTCCTCATTTTTATCATCATTAACAACATAAAAAATTGGAGTTTTATCAGTATCAACGACATAACAAGTCCATCATTTTCATCATCATCACAAAACAACAACAACACTGAATATGGAGTTTCATCATCAAGTATTCATGAATGTAAGCGTATGTAAGTTCCTCTTCATACCTTCAATTGCCTCCTAGAAGCACTTCGTCTCGTACAACATCCCACAAAGGCGTGGCATCAATGTATTACCAAAACATGAAATTACAACATTGAATATTGCAACAATTGTATACTCATTTTTTATAACATTGAATAGTGCAACAATTGTATACTCATTTTTTATGAATTGTGTTGGGAGAGAATATGGACACAAGTCGGTCTAGAAGAGGGGTTGAATAGACCAATTCTCTTTTAGACAATTTTGAAAAACATTTTAGGTCCTATATATGAAATCAGAGATTTTAAGAAGCGCAGAAATAAAATACAAAAACAAGAGAACTTGGAAGCACCTAAATGAATTAACCAATATAAAATATTTACGTGATGCTAACTTATGCATTTGATTGCTTCCAGAGCAAGTCAATAGGAAGACTATTCAATTAGATTTTAACAAAGTCAATTTAAAACAGATACCATATATGTTTTAACAAGACATAATCGAACTCATGATGCTTTAATAATATCAATACACTACTTACCTAAGCTTATACATAAAACTTTATAAGCAAAAAATTAACTTATATGGCATACGATCAATGTAATAATGCATTTTGAAGCAATAGCAAATTGATGAATATTAAAAAAGTAAAAGAGATAAGGGAAGAAGAAAAGATACACAAGGATATATAGTGGTTCGATTGTCGTCCTCACATTACCTGCTCCCCTATTCAATGGTGTTAAAAACCATTGGAAGAATAGTCATGATCTTCCACTATTTTGATGAGTTGATGCAAGTGTTTCAGTTACAACGAAATATTAAACAATAAACCACACTATTAATGTAGATACTTTAAATTGCTAACAAAACAAGATCTCAAAAGATCTTGATCCAATGATCTTGTCATGCACAATAATCCTGCTCCAAGTATTTGTGTGTAGATATCAACCACTTGATCCTATCGATTTTTTGTTCTAAGTGATTGCCGTGATCAAGCATACATTGGACAACTCCCAACTTTGTGTGTTAGCTATCTTTCTCCAACTCCACCAAGAATGGAAAACTTCCATCCCCGCCTTACACACATTCGATACTTGATCTTGTCAAAGTATTCCTTGGAGTATATTGAAATACACTTCTTAATGAATATTAAAGGATGCCAAACTGCATCCAAGAAATGATACTGGCACCTACAATAAACAACAATCTTTAGACAAAAGAATTAGATACCCTAATGTACTATCAGTCTCCCTCAAGCACTCAATCTTTAGAGGTCAAAGACCATAAACATGAAATCATGAATAAGAATGTAGACGATGAATAGTGCCAGAAAATCTCAAAAACTAATCTAAAACACAAGGTGTTAGTCAAGGTATAGATGAATATGAATGAAGAATACAACATAAGATTCTAACAAATTTATGGATGAATGAGTCTTGGTACATATGATATTCTTGAGATTGATTAATCATGAACAACACAACAAGTTTAATCACTCAACACAACAACATAATTGCATAAACAAAGATGCAAAAAAAGGATAATGAATTTGACATAAATTCATAATCAAGAAGCCGTTTGTAGAAAGAAGAAGAGAAAGATCCATGGTGTAATGATGAACACAAGAAGATAAGACAAAATCACAATTTCCCCATGGGTTTTGCCATAGGTTTTACACACTTGTTACTTTCATCAAAGAAAAAACTATTTAAATTAAAGATGAGAAATAGTCTTGAAGCCTTGATTCAAATCAAGTGAAAACCGTGGTTCTAATCAATGTTTGGACTTTGTAAGTTTTGATTCCAATCAAGTGAAAATTGTTATTCAAATCAATTTGGACAAAGCCAAAATCAAGCTTCAGGATGACTTCTGATTCAAATCAATATTTGTACTTGATTCGAATCACATGAGATTGTGATTCGAATCATACTTATTTTATGATTCAAATCAATTCCACCAGAGACAATTCCCATTTTTCACACAACTCATGATTTGAATCATATATTGTACTTGATTCAAATCAAATCATAGAGAATTTAAATTTGACTACTTTAAATTATGAATCAAGCTACATTTGTGGAAATGAAAAGTGTAATCTCACGGGCTCAAAAAGAAATACTAACAAGGATTAAAGAAGTTTATTTTATGAAATGTAAAGGGTTATTATTGGTACAAGTTAACAGTAGCCGAAGCGACTACAACAAAATAGAAATGATAAAAGTGTACAAGCACATGAACAAATAGTATGCAAATTACAAATACACATTTCAACTTATAATAATCAATAATTTAATTGACAAAAACATAAAAATACAAATGATACTTAAAGCACATAAACAATACCACAAGGTACTTTGTGCTTTCCATCTCTCCCTTTTTGATGTTCAGAAAATATGCGATATTATTGTTGATAAATTAACCGGAGTGATATTTGATGGAACATAATGATAATGAATCCAGTGACTAGCGCACACTACTTTCTTTGATTTGTAAAACCTTGTAAAGCTCCCCTTACATTAAACACTTAATCTGCATAAATATCAACAATATATTGACCACTTCGCCCCCTTTGTCAAATATTAAAAAGGAGAGAAACAAAAAACAAACGTATACCAGAATCTAAGATAGTACAAAAGTAAAATTGAAATATCATACTCAGTGAATCACAACCTCACCATACAAATTGCATTATGAAAAATTAGCACAAATACACAATTTTAACAAAATATTAAGATAAAGGTAACAATAAAGTGAATAATAGTAATACCAAATATACGTGAATTAAAACCATAGAATTTATAGGGTACATAACAAAATAAGATCATCCAAATCACAAAATAGGAACTTAATCCAAAATGACATAATTAAAACTAAAATATGCTAAATGTTATTAAATGCATTAAATTAAACATCATGGTAAATCATTAGAAAAAACATCAAAAGGGTCATATGTAGAATGAAGTGAAGATGAATGCAATGAACTACATAACAATTAAACCTATGCATTGGATGAATGAAAAATTATGTAATGCCCAAACGCATCACATATACAAATATATTTCAATCACACAACACACAAAGGCAAAAATAATTACAATTATATACACACAAAAGAAAAAAAGAGGATTGGAATAGTCATATCAATTTAGATGATCTAAGCTTAACTTGTTGTGCATGAGAAATGTTAGTCACCAACAACAAGAATAACATAGGCTTTAAAATACATAAGTAATATACTAATTGGATACAACTCTTTTTAAACATCTGAAGAATACTATCAAACTCTCCTTCATAAGACTGCAGATGAACTTTGAGTGACAATAGTTTGATTGTCACTGGTTGACGCAACTTGTTAATAAAAAATTAATGATCTAACTATTTGAAGATTTATTTGCACTTCAAGGAATATACTATTGTCCTTGAATCTTCTGTAGTTGCTAAAACTTCGGAGAAACTTTGCCAATAGTCATAAAAGCTGCCTACAATTTTTTTTAACGATAACCTTGGAAGAATATATCACTTAGAAGATGATTTTGTTTCCTTATTTCATCTCATAATAACTTCAATTATAATAGTGTGGATGTATGCCCATCTTCACTTAGGATCAATCTAGAATAACTTTTAAGACATAGTGTCAAAAACAAACTGCACACACTCAAGATGTTGTTAGTCTAATCCTGGATTAATCAAATCTTAGAGAATATATTAATTTAAATTAATGTTTGAAGAATATATTAGCATGTTTTTTTATTGAATTAATCTATGTAATGGATTACAATTAATAATCAAGCATAAAGCACATCAAAGTAGTTTCATATAAATTTATTGAATTGCATAAGCTTCCTAACAATTAGAAAATCTCGTCTAGGATCGAAGGAACCATATCC